ATATCTAAAAGCTAAATTATTTATTAAAATAAAAAATAAAGATTGACTTATTTTACACAGTCGATTTATATTTTGGTTCGTTGATTTTATACTTTGTTGACTTATTTATACAGTTGATTTATTTTTTTTATGTTCGTTGACTTAATATTCAGTTTCGTCGACTTATTTTAAACTGTTGACTTATATTTTGTTTGATTAATTTTTTACGTTATCTATTTATTTAAACCACTGACTTATTTTTTTTAATTCGTTGACTTAAAATTTTGTTTCATCGATTTATTTTAAACCATCGATTTATATTTTGATTGATTGACTTTTTACCTTGTCGACTTATTTAAACCATTGATTTAATTTTTTGTTCATCGACTTGACATATTATTATATAAATTAKTTAAATTGTAAATTGTAAAACTAATTAAAATCAATTCCTTAGATATTTTATCAAAAAATTTTTTATTAGATTATTAGATTATCAATAGATGGTTATATATTAGTTTTAAATATTATAAATCAATTTTTAAATAAAAACTAGAAAAATTAAATCATTTTCTTTTCTAACTTAATCTTGTTAAATAAGGATATAATTGTCATTTCAACTTTTAAAATATGATATTTTTCAAAGTGTAACAAATTTGGTATAGATTTCAAATTTCCAATAAGATTTGGAATATACAAGCCAATTTTCCCATTCTAATAAGCATTTATCAAATGTTTTTGCTAGGATATTTAGTGTTTAAACATGATTTTCAACAAGACCGTTTATTGTGGACGCACAATTTTATCGTCTTAAGCATGATCCGCACTATTCAAAGAAGACGATAAGAACCAAAATCAGGAAAAATAAGAAGAGAGTGACCTTTGGTACTGCAGTATAAATGACACAATATGATTACTCGTGCTCCTACATCTACAAGAAGAGTAAGTCTTTAATTATTAACAAACTTAAGAAGAATTAGTCAAATCTCTTTGACTGGATTCTCATTAAAGAGAAAATATAATAGAAGTACATCGTTGCTTTTTTTAAAGACATGAGAAGAAATATTTGAATATGATATGAGCTGGACGGTTAAAAAGTTTTCATA